TCTGTTATCGTGGTTTTTGTTATTTCAGACGTGTACAGAAATAGCAATAATAACATGTGATATGGGCGGGGATACTGATTTCTTTATCAATAACTGCGATGTTACTGAAGCCCTGGTCAATTTTACAATACACAATTGCGTGAAGACATTTGGCGAGGAAGCTACATCCAGTATTGGTTATGTTCCGGAACTATATCATCTTGATGGCGTACCGATACGTTATGGAACTACGTACGATGCTGCAAGCAATATTATTTTCACGTAAGTTCTGCGCGCACTTGCAATAAGCTAGCGTGAGACTTAAAATTGTTGATGTTCTGGAGCGTAAAATGCTTTGATACTCGCACTTTGATGATCATCTTTTGTTTCATTATCGCATTTCTTATTGCCATTGATGTACAACTGACAACTTCTCCATTCTTCTCTGTTTTGAACTTCTGTCGGCCGTTCAAGCGGACCCTTCCACCATACTGGGCGGTTTTCGCTAATGTTTTTTAAAAGCGCAAATGGATGGGTACGAAAAAATCATTTGTGAAGTGAGACTGCAATTTGCAATTTGTTATTTAATTTTTACTTGGCTTAAATTCTTTGTTCGTTTTAATTTTAGAAACGGCAATTTGGATCCATGGTCAGGTGGTGGTGTCTATGAAGATTCACCGGGAATCAAACAAGCAATGAAAAATGGGGTTTATACTTTCAACATCAAAGATGCGGCTCACCACCTTGATCTGCGAACACCTAATTCGTGCGATCCACCATCGGTCACCAGCGCCCGCTACCAGGTACCAAATTTTCCAGTGTATACTTGGACTGTTGTAATTTGTAACTTGACGTTACAGCTGTGCTTTTTCGGGAAGCTTTCCCGATGCTACATTGCCTACAAATCAGGCTATTTTGCTGCCGATCGTGGGATTCGTTCCATCTGCTTTATGGATTTTTAAACCTCTATATCAAGTCCCCTGAAGGACAGAAACAGCTGTCTAATAACAAATAAAATAGTTATGAAGAGCACTTACAGAGAATTTATAAAAATCTGTTTGCACCGACATTCCAGCATTTAAAATTCACGCCAACATGCAGCAGATCCCTCCAGTACTTGTCAGAGAGACAAGACGCGCAGCGCTCT